CCCCCAAAAAAAAAAAAAAAAAAAAAAACATCTACATCCTTGACACAATTAAGGAGGAGAAAGTTCGTATATGATAGAAATAAATAATATTTAATTGCATATCATCTAGGTTATTCTACATACATGTACAAGCAGGCGGGATGTGGCACTGCAAATCTGACCATTTGTCCAAAAGCAACCAAAAATCGTCCATTCGGCAGCTATAAATCATAGGAAAAGAAAATTAGTGAATAATATCAAAATCAAGAACGGCATAGATCTGATGCACAGATTACAAGGTAGCTCCCTTTTCACAAGGTAAATTTTTAATTAACCATGAAAAACTAAAGTTCATGATATGAAAATTGTGCTCTGAAGTTACTGACCCTTGTCAAGGTCGACATCATCAAAAACAACAATTGGACTTTTCCCACCAAGTTCCATAGTTACAGGCTGCCAAAGAAAACAGGTAAAGATAAAATAAATCAAATGGTGATATAGAACTTCTACTAAGCAAATGTAAATGTAAACTGTGCTGAAATTCAACCTTGACCAGTTGGGCAGCTGCTGTCATAATCTTGCTTCCAGTAGCACAACTCCCAGTAAATGCAATCTATCATCAATATTTTTTTATTAATTAGACAACATTTTATCTTTAACAATCAAAGTAGATGCCCAAAAGCAATAGCCATACCTTGTCAACGTGAGGATGAGATGCTAGAGGAGCACCAGCTTCAGGGCCAAATCCTGTCAGAATATTCAAAATACCAGATGGAAGACCAACATCTTTACAGATTTCACCCAGTTCCAAACAGGTGCTGCCCAAAAAAAAAAATGAGGAAAGAAAAAGAAAACTCATATGTAACAACATTAAAAAGAATACCACAAAATAAATCAAGTTCATACAATTAATAACCACTTACACAGATGCCAGTTCTGATGGCTTCAATATTGCAGCACACCCAGCAGCCAAGGCAGGTGCAACTTTCCATGCAGCCATCAATAGAGGATAGTTCCTTCAATGTAAAAGACAGATATCAGCGAAGTTTGTGCTAATCAAAAAATTAGAATGATATTGGTTCCTAAAGAGGAGGACAAGAGAGAACATAACCAGATCCGACCCTGGAGGTTAATAACTAATAACGTCCCAATGTATGCCTCTCGTTCAAATTAACAATAAAATGGGAACTGTGAAGCAGAGTTACTCAAGTTGGGTAACATATCCATGATCACAAGTATTCAACATCCCAGCATTTAGATACATGTTGAACCACATGTTAGTCAATCCAACATTCAATCCTTGTTGTACATGTATCAAACACTTGTTGAATAGATATAACATAATGCGTTAAATCCTTTATACAATTATTTGTAGTAAAAAAATCAATCCAAGTAAAATATATATGTATATAAAAGAGAAAAACATCACATTTTGAGAGTGAAAAAATTCAGAAGAATGACTCAAACGAATAAGGAAAATTTTATATAAAAGAATTAGCACTTGAAACTATGACTTGACCCTTCTACATTATTGGTGAAGAAAGTTTTGGAATATTTGATATCTTAAGGTTTAAGTTAATGACCAGTTGTTTGAACCTGGATTGAAGAGTCTCCGTCACCATGTTTGAAATCGACAGGTTCTTGGTTGAGTGACAAGAGTTGACCATGATTTATAAAATGTTTAACAACAATAACTCTAATACTTCCAATAAAATCGGAGAAGCTAAATAGCCGTGAAGAACTAAAAGAAGAAGTAGAAGATGGATCAACAGGTACCAGGGAGTAATCAACCCAACAACTCCAATGGGTTCTTTAAGAACATGGCTTTTGAATGTATCCATGGGAACGGAAACAGGAGCTTTTTGCTTAGCATCCAACCCTTCGGCAAGATCTGCATAGTACTCGAAGCACCCAGCAACATCATCCTGTACAATATTAACAAACATTGACGGCAATGAAAATTGTTACAACCAACATATATCTTTAACTATAAGAAAAACTGCCATACAATGTCCCATGCAGTTTCGTCCAGGGGTTTTCCACAGTCTATTGTTTCGAGCTTTGCTAATTCCGATTTCCTCTCTGTTATCTGTGAGAAAAACAGCAAACAGGGTTCAGGATGGACGACAATAACACCATGAAGATAGAAATTAAAGTTGAAGATATATATAATATAACTTCCAAAGTAACTAAAACTACTTGATTCTTAAACTATAAATGCGACTCCAACGGAACTCCTGCAAGGCGATTAACAAGAAGGTAACATTCCTAAGACAATACATAGACCAAAAGAAGGCTCTATCCAGATATCTAATTTTTCAATGAACTATGGCGGGAAGATGGATGGTATCATATTTCTCATGATCTATTGAATCGCATCAGAAATCAATCCATTGTTTCAAGCCACTAGAATCGTAAATAAGTAACAAAAGCATCAATGATCAATAACCTCCGTCCGATGGTAAAACAGAGACCAGATCACAATCAAATAAGAGTAAAACATCCATATGACCGACTCACCTTAGCAGCAATAGCACGCAAATACTTGGCACGAAGAGCCCCCGAAGCAGATGCCCAATCTTTGCCTTTATTCCTCGCAAGAGCTTTTCGGGCAGCATCAACTGCTAACTCTACATCTTCCGCAGTAGCCGCGGGAATAGATCCTGAAGCATAGTTGGCAATAACACAAATGTGAGATTCAACCTCTTTTAAACCACCTGATCCTCGAACTAATTACTTCTTCCGTCTACCGATCCGCACAACGATTAGAAGTTGGCAAACAAAATTAACAACAGTCATAAACAGAGAAGTTAAGAAGAAGAGACCGATTGTTTGTTCAGTGGCGGGGTTGACGATGGGGATGCGTTTCTTGAGAACTGGTTCCCTCCACTCGCCATCGATGAATAGCTGCCGACTGGGAATATGAATCGCCATTTCTGCAGAGCTCTTCTCTTTAGTGCAGTGTAAAAAGTAGTCGGATTGGTAATGACTTCGACTTGGATTGATCAATATAAATACGGAATTTTCGGTATTTTTCGTCCGTATTGGATTTTTCTTCTGCAATTTTTTTCTTTGAGTTTTACGAAACTCGAGATGATATCTGTGAAGATAATCAAATTATTGGGTAACTTAAATAAGAAAAATAAAATTTATGAAAATAGAAATACAAAGAATCTCTTACACCAACATATTATACATTATTTTATTATATAGAAATCACGCCGTTGAGTAAGCTATCATAATAAGCATTAAAGATGTGTACTTTTTATTAAAAATAAATTATATTTAACCCTAAATTTTGAAATTCGTACTTAAAACTTAATTTTTTATAAAATTTATTGAAACTTGAATATTATAATTTTAATTTAACCTAAAAAAACAATCAATTTTAAAAAGACTTTTTTTGAAAATTCATAAATATTCTTAAATTCTCTAAAAACTTATGATATTTTCTTAACAATTTTAAAGATAATAGATGTTTTGAAAGTTCAAAGATAAATTTAAAACAAAATATTAACAACTTTTATCTAAAAAAAAGTGTTTAAATATTTTAAAGGTATTTTTTGGAATGGGAATTTTTTTTTAGGAAGGATACAAATTTGTCTCCTATAGTAGCCATTAATACAATTAATGTATATATTTAATTTTGAAGCAATTAATGGATATATTTAAGTTTGAATTATTTATATGTTTGTTTAAAGTATCAGTTTATGATAATATAAATACCCATTTTAAAGTTTAAAGATGCATCAATATTAAAATATATGCATTTTATAAAAACGTGAGAATAAAAAAAATAATACATCTTTATTAAAAGCAAGAGCTAAAAACTGGCCACACCACCTATTCTATTCTATTCTATTCTATTTTTTTTTTCTTTTGGTAGGGAGGATCCACTACATACATATACATGCAAACATACATACACACGTAGATATATATGTTAGATGATGAAAGTCCCACATCGGTTAATTTAGAAAATGACTGTAGGTTTATAATAAAAAAATAATCTCTCCATTAGTATGAGCTCAAAGTGGACAATATCATATCATTGTGGAGAGTCGTGTTCATCTAACCATATATATACTTACATTGTGGAGGTAAGCAACAATTACTCTTAAATATATTTAAATTTAAACTTGTTACTCTATGTTTTTGTTTTTAAAAACATTTATTATATGCAAGATTTTATTTTATCAGAAGTTGAGAAGAACCGGTGTTGAACTTGAATTTAATTTAATGAAAATTAATACATTTATAAATATTTTCTCAAAAATTGCAAACATAAAAAATTCAAATAAATCTAGGGGTCAAAATTGATTTTTTATTCATAAAATAAATAATTTTCAATTTTTCAGGGCGAGATCTCCTCCTTCACCTTTCATCTTCGTATGCTAATATGATTTCCAGTAAACATCAGAAGATGCGATTCTATCCCTGCTTTATATATGTTACTGATGCGGAATTCTCAGATTATAATCAAAATCAAACAAACGAATCTGAAGGAAGTACGAAATTTAACAGCGATAAACAATAACGGAATCAAAACAAGAGGAAAGAAACGAACAGAGATCAAATCATATTAACAAAAGAATAATCTATGGTGTATCAGTATCTATATATAACCAGCAGACAAAGAAATAGAAAAAACAAGATATACAGCTCAAAGATAAGCTATGGAGACGATGATGATAAGAAAAAGAAAACCGAAGAGCAAGAGAGGAGTAGAATACGAAGGATTTCTACTTCTTATGAGCGGTTTTGTTATATTTATCTTTGATCCATTGGAAGCCGAGAGAGGTTCCTTGTTTGACCTTTTTAACGCCATTGGAGGCCACAGCTTTGGTCTTCCCAAGGCCTTCGCCGACCTTCTGTTTATACTTAGTCGTAGTGTTTCCGCCGCCGCTCTTCTTCGTGTTCTCCGTGACTACGTCCTTCGAGTCGCTGTAATCCCACTGGTCCGCCCAATCGTACGAGCCGTTTCCCGCCATGGATTTGACTGATCGATTGAGTGATTCTGGCTCTGAAAATCTCTGCTACAAAGAAATCTCGGAGAAAGAAGAGGAAGAATCTGATAGCAAAGAGAAGAGAGAATCGAGATGAATCGACGAAAAAGTTATGAGACGAAACAGGGTTTATAGCCACGGAGAATCCGATTCGAAGCCGAAGCGCGTGCCGTGTGGGTTGCGATTACAAGTCATACAAATTTTGCATTCCTACCGTGGAAATGGAATATCCAAATACTTACCCGCTAAACTACTTTTAATATTTTTCTTCCTTTATATGTGAAAATTAATTTTGTAAATTGAATGGTTTGTTCTGAAAATGGTAATAAATATTTTGTTTTAGCTTTCTACCAAATTGTCTATCTACTAGGTTTTTACTTTTAGGGTTGGTCCACGTGGGTACAGGATAATGGAGATTCGGGAAGGTTCTAAAGCATTAAGTCGTTAACTAATCACCGCCAACCTTACCTTACAGTCGGTCACCGCCTACGCCATCAGAGTTGGGCCATTTCTTGGAAGCAGAGGTATGCTCTTTTCATGCTTTTTAAACTAAGGAATATGTATATCCTGGTCAAGCAAGGAAGGCCGGGAAAGCTTTGACTTCTCAATATTAACAAATTTAAATTTTGTCTTCTTTGTATTTTCTAAATTTCTAATAATTTATAGGATTTGATCGTAGCCATTCAAATCACATGTGTTATGTTGATCCTCTAATCTCCCTCATTGTCAATATTAGTGTATTGAATCAATAATCATTATCATAACTCTGAAGCAAATGTGTACGATATATTAGAATATATTTTCTATGACCGTAATCAATTATAATTTTTTAACTTATTTCTAAAATTTAGTTGGTAGCTTGTATTCTATTTAAATGAAATCCATGAATATTGAATTTTTTATCTAATGTTTCTGGGACTTCAATCTTCCTTGGTCTTCCAATTCCACTCTTATTTCTTTGACTTTCAATCTCACTTCAACTCCATTCTTGTTTCTTTGATTTTCAATCCTCCTTCTATTTCTCGTTCTTAACATGATATCAGAGCTTCATTCTTAACACCCAAGTCGATAGTGTCCTCTTAAGACTTTCCCTCAAAGTTTTAAAACGGATATGCAAGGGAGAGGTGTCCACTTTTGAGCTTTCCCTTTCGAACTTCTCCTCAAGGTTTTAAAACGCTTCTGTAAGGGAGAGGTGCCCACCTTTGGGCTTTCCCTTCTGTGCTTCCCCCTAAAGGTTTAAAAACACATCTACTAGGGAGAAGTGCTACCGCTCTTTTTTGGGCTTCCCCAAAAAGTTAAAAAACACGTCTATTAGGTAAAAGTGCCAACCGTTAGCAAATATTATCTTTTTTTGAGTTTTTCCTTCCTGACTTTCCTTAAATGTTTTAAAAGATTTCTATTAGAGAAAGTTTTCAACGCCTCATATTCCTCATCTGAGCTGTCAAATCACATGGTTATTTCAGTTATTGCATTTCACTCGTACTGTAATAATTTGAGATTAGTCAGCATACAATTGGTAGAATGGGGCCATTCTTTGCGCATCATATAAGGGATATGCTTTGACAATTCTAAAGAACAATTCATTCGGGTGTTCGGCTCTAAACTATATTTAATTTAATCTATTTGGTGTCAATTGTCAGCTTTCCGCAGATGGAACATGAATACAACTGGCAACCAAGTAAATGGGTCATCATATTTATAAATCATAATAAAATATGTGTACCTTGACATCGGCTTTGTTGCGTTGAAAAGCCATTTCAGACACAAGATCGTAGATAACAGGATTCTGTTCTATTCCTTTCATGGACACTCCCATCCCGACCTTCAAATGAAAAATGAGCATTATCGAACGATTTAAATACGTGACAGATACAATCCTTCGTTACTACGGTTTGTACAAGAAATTTAAAGAATGAGCAAGACTAAATACCCTAATCTTCCATCGCCTTTTCAGTTCATCTCTTAAGAATTACAGAAATCCTTGTACATTATATACTCGAAATCTAAGCAAAGGTACTGATGGATGAGAGAAAGTGAGCACCAAAAACTTATTGGGGTTAATATCAAATAATGGTAGATGATGAACTTACCACAGTCGAGTATGGACTGCAACGAGCTTCAATTGGCCCAGATGCTATTGAATCCAAAATGGCATACATCCTAACATTTCCAGAGAACTTATGTATCATGCACCTGCAGAAGGCAATTCACAGCACACAGCTAATGAAGCAATCAATCAACTTAAAGTCAGATAAATTACTGTTCTAATCTGCAAGCTAAATGAAACTGCATCTCAAAATTTACTTGTTACTAGTATGCAGGAAATCATCTTGTAAAATAAAAACACGAAGAAAACATCGAACCGCTGATAATTACAGTATTTTTCCATAGAAATTACATTGAAAATGGCATAATTTGATAGTTGTTCATAAGAATGCGAATCATAATTTCACCACCTTTGAATACGAGGTTACAGACCTGTTTTATACCAACAATGATGTGCACCACACCAGTGCTTTAGAGACCAGTACAAGCCAGCTAAAATCCACTCCAGTTACCCCCAACAATTCTGGTAAAAGCTTGGAAATCGAGTTCAAGTCAAAAAGTAAGATCGATTATAATTTCAATTTACGATCCTTCATTTACAAAATAACAAGAAGCATTGAGAAGCCTAATCCTATTTCAAGAGCCGATTAGATCGAGGTGAACACAATTAAAAAGAGAAGCGAAACGTTTCTACATACAAAATTTCAGCATCCATGTCTCCTGAATTGCGCGATGATTCCTGATCACTAAGCAAAATCCCCACTAAATTTGTCCTCGAAAAAATGAACGTTCAAAAACCGCGAGAAAAATGAACATTCAAAATAGAGACTAGAAGCAGACTACACTTCAAGTACACAAGAGTTCTTTCACTTCTTAAACTTCCCAGCATCGGACAAAGCTATACCGCTGCGCCATCTTCAAACAAAAAAAAATCCTCTGTATTGACAGAGAAACTTGTAAAAACCGACCAGCCAAGTTACTTAGAGACAGATTGAAAGGCAAAGCCGCAGCAACTTGGACATGCGCAGGCGCCCTCTAGCGATCCTGAATTTCAAGAAGCAGCGAAATGAATCCAACTCCGATTGTGAACAAGGCGGGGAATAAGGGAACTGGCAGGAAATGAGAAACAGAGATCAGAAGTGGATGTAGAAAGTAGAACTATCGGCATGGTGGTTGGTGACGCCGAGAAATCCTGAAATGGCGATCGGTTTTGAAGAGTACTAGTGACTCCTAGACAACGGGAATGGCGGGAGGTATCTTGACGAGGGTGGAAGAGCGCGCAAAATGAAACGGGAAGTGGGCTGTGGGGGCCTCTTCATCGACATCGGACAGGGCCGTCGACTTGGGCTTCGGTCCACGCTAATTCGACCAATGAAAAGATGACGTGGCAGGAAGTGGACTCTAATGACGTGGCAAACTTGAAATTTTGTTAATTACATCCATTACTGTAAAATCCAATTTAAGTTGAGAAAGGTTAGAAAAAATAACCCATCTGTACGAAACTAAGTTAACATTCCATTGTAATTACCCATCAAATCTTCCTAATATGGACGGTAAAAATCCATTAATTACAGTGTTTACAAAACAAGAGCAAACCCTCGCCCAATAATCCTAACGCAGAACAACATTTCATCAAAACGGCATCGTATTAGCCGAGCTGGGAATCCTTCCACCTCCCATTCGGTACCCAGTCGAACTGAGTCCACCTCTCACGAAACTCGATTCGCCGCCACGATCGCCGTCGTCAACCGATCTCCCTCTCGTCCTCATCCTCTCCAATATCTTCTTCGCCTTCTCCCTCGCCCTCTCGCTTCCTCTTTCAATAATCTCCCTCAAAACCTCCATTGCTCCGGCTTCCTTCGCCAATCCCTTGAATCTCATGCTTCCATAGCTCAGTGCGTACAATGCCGCAACGCAATTCTCGCGAGCCGATTCGGAGTCCAGCTCTTTCTCCCTCAGCATTCCGACCAAGAGCCCGACGGCATCGGCGTCCAGCATTGCTGATCTACCCTCCTGGCACACGGCGATGTTGCAGAGGATCAGCAACAGCCAGTTCGTCGAGTTTCTCGATTTCACCATGGAAAGAAGAGTCGTTACGGCGCCGAGTTTCACGAGCTTCACACGGTTGCTTTGTATCATTGTTAGGTTGTAGAGACATAGAGCGGAAACGTCTCGAGTTCGCTCGTTTTCCGATCGTAGTGCGTAGAGGAGCGGCGGCATTGCGCCGAGAAATCCGATCGCCATCCGATTTTCGTCCTCTAAAGCTAGACTAAAGAGCGCTTCGGCGGCGTGTTCTTGCGTTTCAGTATGTCCTCCTTTTAGCGCATCGATTAAGTGTGGAACCAAACCTGACCGCGCAATCTTTAGTTTGTTTGGCTTTTCGAGGGAGAGATTTACCAGAGAGGCGACGGCGTTGATCTGTACTTTGGGGTATCTCGAGGTTACCAAAGAATGGAGAGATGAAAGAATCCGAGGCGTACAAAGCGAAACCCTAATATTCTCATCGGCTTTCGTGACTTTTCTTAGCGAAACAATACCTTCTTCTTGCTCTAACACATCGGGACTCTCGAGCTTCGCTAAGAATTTATTCTCTTCTTCCCCAATCGATGAATTCGGGCCTAAGGCTTGGATGAGCGCGTTGTTTTCCACATTTTCGGAGGAAGAAGACGAAAAGGAATAACACACAGGTCGAATCGTGAATGGCAGAGGAGTTCCCGGACTTCCTCCGACAAAAACAGATTCCTCGGAGGAGCTCGTGTAGAAATGTTCTGGACGGCGGCCATACTCCGTCGCGGCGTGCGAAAAATTCATCGATGGCAAATCTGATACTCCCTCCAATAAATCCCTATCCGACAAGTCCCTAAATCCGGTGTGAGGCTTCTCCTGCTCCATTAATGCACCAACACGCCTCTCGACGGAGCTGTAATCAGGCGCCTGAGGATTCCGAGCACCGGACTTCTCACACCAATGGAGAATCGTCTTCTTCATAGCCAAATTGGGAATCACAGTCGAGAAATCTGGCTTGGAACCATCGTCTAACACAGGGGAGAACCCCAAATTTCTGCAAACCTGCGCAGAAACACGCTCAAATGTCTGTCCAGAAGAGACGACAACTGGGTCTGCCATTAACGAACAAGAAACTGGACAGATGAACTCTTTAGGAGGCTCGTTCGATTCGACCCTAGATTTACGACGATGGAGGAAGGAGAATTTCCACCGGAAATTGCCATTGCCATTGCCATTGCCACCCATACATACAGAACCACAAAAACAGAATTTCTGAAATCCAAAATTGAGCAAGAACCTAACTGGCATCCAATTATACAAAGATTTGAGTAACGAAAAAAAGAGAGAAGTAAGTGTACCGTGAGGAGAGGGTCGAGTGCGTTGCTTTAGGGCTCAAGTACAGTGGATCGCAGCTGGGTTTGTTTTCGTGGGTCTGATTTTTTTTATCGACTTTTTTCTTTTTATTTTATTACAATCTTTAATTTCTTTTTTACCTTCTATTATATGTAAACATACGTAGATGGATAAATATTAAATAAAAGTTAATACACGACTAATAAAATTGGATTAGGATATTATATATTAAAATAAATATTATTGGGGAGGGACCCACTTCATTGTACTCGGAGCAACTTAGTCTCGTCCTCTAGAAACGGCACAGGCAATGTCTGCTTATTTCGGTTTGAGTTTGGGTTTGGGTTGGAATTATAACGTTCCCCACTTCCATGTATTTTTTATTTTTTTAATTTACATTTTTTTCTGTTAGAATTATTTATAACCATGGAGACATATACAAAAATTACGTTAAAGTTATTTAGATAACTATTTTCATCTCATATAATATTATTTGAATAATATTAAAATTATTGACTGCACAGACTTGAAAGAGACGGATTATTATTATTATTATTTAGAGAGATATACAAATATATATATTTCAATTACCATTTTTACACAAGTGTGATAGCAAGGAGACCATAAATTTTTTTCTTTTTTTAGAAAATATGACAGCAATGAGACCTGATGGAGTTGAATTCCAACCTTTTCTAGAGATATTTTTTATATCACATCTCCTATTTTACTATAATTTTGTTTAGTTAATTAGATAAAACATAAATATCTATTATATCCAAAAAATGTAAACAGTATTTTATAAAATAATTCAAAGTTTATATTGAGGAAAAAAAATAAACTTAAACAAATACTTATAGTCCAATTTTTTTCTGATTTTCCAACAAATAAAAAAAAAGCAAAATATGTTTTTTTTATGTATATTACCATATGGTCTGCATATATTAATTATCGTATTAATTTGAAGGTTTAAAAAGAAAAAACTTACAAAACTCTTACTCTATTTAATTAAGGTAATTGGAAAAGTATTGAAAATGCCAAAAAAGAAAAAGAAAAAGAAAAAGAAAAATGAAAGGCCTTTTCTTAAATTCAACCAGAAAAATTCAAAGGAGGACATCAATCGCGCCGCACATAATTTCAAAAAAGATTCTTCCATTATTATTATTTTATTTCATTTTATTTATGCTTTTCCATCACGGACCTTATCTCAAATTTCATGCATTAGATAGTTTCAATTTCATACGCCAAAAAAAATAATAATAATAATAATAAATAAATACTCAAGCTCAACAAATTATTATTTTTAAAATTTATTATTCCATATAGTTTCCTATATTGATTTAAAAATAAGAAATTCAATGAATTTTTTTTAACAGAATTTCTATTTATATAGTTTTAAATTAAATCTCAGCCATTATACTGAATTTTATTTAAACAAAATCGTGTGTTTATCACATAAAATACTAAATTATCGGAGTTTTTTTTTTATTTAAATATATTTTTACCTTTTAAAACATGAAAGTTCAAATATAAATACCCTAAAAACATAAAAATATGATTGATCGAAATCAATTTAACTCCAAAACATAAAACAGCATACCAAGTAAGCACAGGCTCATTACACATTAAACAGGTCCTAAGGAAAATTGTAGCGATTCAAAGAGGAAAAAAAAATAGAGTAATAGGATTAATGATGATAAATTGCTTGGTAGTGCAGAGAAAAGCTAACGGAAGAGAGAGAGAAAATAATGGAATTATACAGTAAGAAACAACGACACAACGTACAGAGAAAAGTAGAGGCTAGAGAGAGAGAGAGAGAGAGAGATGTAGGAGAACAAATAATACAAATATTTATGAATCCTCAAAAGAAGAAGAAGAGAAGTTTTACTTGGAGGAGACGAAGAGCGGGATTCGATCGGACCATGAAGCTTGATTCCCCAGCGACGAGCAGTTGATGATGATGATGTAGTTGTTGGATTATATCGGAGAAAAAACCCTAGGTTTTTAGGGTTTGCTCTGATTTAGGGCTTTTTTTGTGATGAAGAGATGGAGAGAAAAAGAAGAAGAAGAAGAAGATGATGGAGGAAATGGAAGTAATCATAATTCATAATGGGCGAATACGGAAGAACGAGGCTGCGTGATGATTGGTAATGAGGAATTTGATTCGAATCGCCTCCCTCCTCCACCTACGCTCATCGCTCTCTCTCTCTCTCTCTCTCTCTCTCTCTCTCTCTAGAATGGGAAAAAGAGAGAAACAGAGAGGAGAGACGCTCTCTCTCTCTCTCTCTCCCTCTCTGATTTTCTCTAATGCCAATGATTCATTATCAATAATAATACTTTACAGTTGTTAACCTCTTCTTCCATTTCTACCCTCCTTCCAAATTCTAAATATTATCTTAAATTATCACAAAAAAAAAAAAAAAAACTATGAAATTGATTTTGATTATACCTAAAAAGTTTTATTAATGCTCAAAATAATACGATAATTCAATAATAAAGTTTTACACTCGATATTAACTCGACCTCATGGAAAGGGAAAAGAATCATTAACGTGGAAACTTAATTCCTAATAAAATTATGAGGCTGACGATAATATGTGTCAAAACATACAATATCTACGAGTAAATCTTTAATGACTATCAAAATTAGGTACATGAGACTGAGACAAAGAATCTTTAACGACTATCAAAATTAGGTACATGAGACTGAGACAAAGAATGCAATGAATACTTATCTTTAGTTCAAGCACCAACAAGGAATAAAATTTTGAAAATAATTAATTAATGGCATAAGAATGAGGAATGAACGAAACTATGGATAAGAAATAAATAAATAAATTTTGATATGCATTATTATTATAATTTTATTGAGAATAAAACAAAATAACAACAGAGAGAAAGAAAAAAAAGCATATTTGGTGTACTGGAGAGGGGTTTCTGTTTCTTGAATTCCATTATTATGGCATGTTTTTGTGTCTATATAATGCAGTTTGGCTGGAGACAGTTTACTTTCCCATCTTAAAAATAAAAAACCAATTTAATCTCTTATATTTAAACTTTTTTTTTTATTTGCATTAAAAATTGTTAATGTGTGTAATTAATTAATTCCGATACAAATTAAAAGTCTTAAATTGTTATTAAAAAAAAAGTAAGGGTGACGTGGAAATTTGATATGAAGTTTTTATTGGTGATGGGAAAGCGTAAAAATGATAAGATTCTTGCACATACGTCGCCTCGATATAAACCTCTCCACCTCATGTTTGTGATGGGCGGTGTGTACAAGGCCTCAGAATGAATTCAAAGGCCTCAGAATGAATTCACTGTAGTATGGCTTGATCGGCAATTATTAGTGATTCTGACCTCATACTTATTTGCTTATTTTAACATAATTTCATTTCTTTCTGAAAGAAAAAGAAATGGTTAATTACACAAAAGAAATCCGTTTTTTTTTCACGAGGTAGAACTTCAAATTCCTATTTATTACTGAAGCGACCATAGACCAATTCCCCTTTTATTTGGGATGGGAGTATTGACTACACCCAAAATTCTGAGCTTCATGTTACTCCTACCAAGCAAGCCACATGTCAGATCCGGGGCATCCCAATTCGATTGAATGGGATGACAGTTTCTCATTCTGAATCTGTAAAATCAAAATTTTGATCCTGAATTGAGTTTTTACGATTGGAGCAAGGGTGTTGCCTAGGGCCATTACCTTTTAAAATATTTACAAATATATAAATTACCATTTGAGTATTTAACAAAATTAATTCTTACAATATTAAAAAAAAAAAAAAAAAAAAAAAAAA